TGAAGCTTAACGAATATCATAATTAGGTAAACCTCTTTTGAGAAAAAACTATAAAATGAAGTAAAAACCTTTTGGAGAACTTTGAATTATATTTCCTTTTCTTTTTTTTCCAGTATCATATTTTAACAATTCATTATTTTTTGAGATAATTGATAGTGACAAACTGTTGCCAATGATCTCAGTAGTTAAAGATTTTAATCAAACTATTGGAGGGATATATAGTAATATTGTTCCTTAAATCTGACTTAGAATACCTAGTTTAGACTTAGTTTTGTTTAATCCAAACTAGCTTAGTGAACTCCTCATGTTTTTTAAGTAGTATAGTCCTTCTACTAATAATGTACAAATATAAGTTAGTCACTTTGTGAAAGTCTGTAAATATTCTGATATCTTTCAACATAACATGCCATTGTGGCATGATGGTTAAAAAATATATATATATATACTGTTATGGGTTAAACCGACAAGTCCGTTACTAATCCATAATGTCTTGTGTAACCCAACCAACCAACAATAAACACACAACTATACTAAAGAAGTTAAAGAGTTTTGAGACTTTATTACTTTTAAAACATAAAATTTGAAAAAAAATAATAAAGAATTTTACTATAGAAAACAATAAATTTCAAAGTAAATTCATTTTAAAAGTACGATCACGAGGAAACCGATTTCGATATAACGGAAGCATAATAAAAACTCTTGACATACATAAGTGTAATAAGTTCAATAAATTTTATTTGATATATAGACCTTGATATAACGGAATTCAATAACAGTAGAATATAGACTTTTGTCGGTTCTTATTAAGGGATAAGGATTAAATACCGTGAATCTAATTTAAATTTTTCGAGCTAAAATTAAAATTCAGTTTCAGCAAAGATTTTGAATTCAATTATTCACAAGATGAAATTTCACTAAGTCCAGGCTAGAAAGAAATGTCATTACATGGCAATGAAGCCATCGGATGAGATATCAATTCCATAAATATAATATGAAAAATAGCGATACTCGAGAATTGCGCTAAGAAAAACTGACATCATGAATTTGGTTCACATAAGCTTGCATAGTTAAGAAAATCTCATAAAAACTATGATTGCATATTAAACTAAAAGAAACACATGATAATGGCATTGATAATAGTACTCTCATCAATCATTAGAATATATGAATGCTATATCAAGATGTTACAGAAACGTATAAATCTATGTCTGCGAAGATATAGTCTTGATTTCATTGATCAAAGATTCCTTTGGCGTAAAGTACGTCTTCTTAATGTAACCAACCTTGATGTGTTGAGGCTTTTTCGCAATTGATTTTGTATCGAGTATCTTTGTGATCCGGTTGCCATCATTATGAGATAAATATTTGGCTTTATTGGCGATATTCGCCTGCATTGGACAAATTGTATAAGTACATAGCAACGCACAGAAATAACAGAGAACCAATCTTCTACCTTAAAAAGATACAAAACTTCCAGTGTGTTTCTCAATCCTCTGATGTCATTTAATTGCGCAGGGAATCTGAAAGAAGGCCCATTCAGGCTAAAGTACAATCCCTCGTCAAGCAAGTCGACTGCAAAAATTTGACCTTCTAGACCTAATACGATAATAAATATTCATGAATCTGCAATGTGGTATCTAAACTTATTATCTAACGAAAAACTTACCGGCGGATTGCAACCCAAATATTGTTGAATCTTCGACTGCTTTTTCAGAAAGGTCGTTCATAAGGTAGCTATCCAGTATACATTTATTTGTTCTAAGACACTTACTGCGGTCCTTGATTATTTTTAATGGTGTTGCTTTGCGTGCAAATTCCGAGTGTGACAAATCTCTGTCATCACCAACAGTCAACACTCTTAGATCAATTTTTCGATTTAAAGTAGGTTTGGATACAGTTTCACCCCTGTGAGCATTTATAAAAGTACTTCAGATTCACTACTGGTATTATAAAGTCAAAAAAATGCTTACCATTTGAGATAGATAGTATTGTAATCGTTAGAGAAAATCATGTTCAGTATAGGACCTGCAAATTTCATAATATACTCAATTTCCGTCAAATCCTTTTTTCCACCTTCTTTGTCCAAAAATGAATATGGATTTTCTAAAAGCATATCGATTCTAGTAATGAAATTTGGGTTAATTGAAAGATGAAAAAGCAGTAATATATAATACATACACATAAAAATATATCCTTAAAACTTGACGGTGAGCATCATCACTAGGCCTTTCTTTCATCCTGTCCAATATATATGACCACGCTTCCCAATATTTATATGAAGTACATAGCTAAAAATTCGATAAAACAATTATAGACATGTTCAATGTACATTATTATAATGGCCAACGAACTATTACGTACCTCTTCAATCTTAATTATATCAGCCAAAGTGTTTCCTTCGAATCTTTTGATTTCAAACTTTATTTTACTCGAACATTTCGCTTTCAAATCCTCCCAATCTTGACCAAACCAGGTATGCATACCTTCTTCAAATTCCGATGATAAATCAATGATTGATGAAAGACCAAGCCTATGCATGCGCATATAATTCTTTAATGCTTAGGTATAGAAAAGAAAACCAAAAAAATTATATAGCAACATTATATACCTTATGACACTCAAAATCTTCCCGTCAATCCTTTTCGATTTGTCAAGTTTTTTAATTGCATTTTGTGTCATTCTTAGCAAAACGTCTCTAACTTTCTCGCCATTGTTTAAAGTCCATCTTTCACTATTGCATGTATCAACCCACTCGTCGAATGAGAAATTGGTGATATTGAGAATCTCTTCTCCTTCATCCAAACAATTGACCTTTTCGGCATCACTTTCTTCATATTCACCATAACTATCGGAATCGTAGTCGAAATCTAGTAGACGCTTCTTGAAGTTCTGTATAATATACGTATATACTGTATATTAACAAAAAACCCCAGAATTACTAAATCAATTATTAAGTATAAGATATCTAACTTCAGACGGAGTCGGTTTTACGTCTTCCTTAACATCATCAAATGAACCTTTTCTTTTACGATCAATAGTTGTGAGATCATTGCCAATGTTCCTATGAAATTCCATTACTGTGGCTGTATGTTCTTGCAGATTTTTCGACTTCATCAAAGAATATGGTTAGTAAATTTCAAACACAGAATCGACAATATAATTGTTAAAATGGTACCTTCATCTCGGCCAGTTGTACAGCTTCTCTGCTTTTTATTTGTTCCAATTGAAAGGTTTCATTAATTTTTACTTTTTCTAGGCTCTCCAAATATTTGAAATAATCGCCTTTGCTTTTTTTCGTTTTCCAAAACTACAAATTTCAATAAATAAAAGCTTTAAAATCATTATGCATAGAAAAAGGTTATTATTTTACATGAAAACTGTAGCGGACTAACAGTTCAACATCGCAAACGACTAACAGTCTTGAGATGTGCTACAGAAAGCCAAAGGCTCTTTTGAACTACAGCGAACTAACAGTTCAACACCCAGACGACTAACAGTCCCGAAATGTGCCGCAGCTCAACACAAACGAGACCAATACTTTCCTCTAATTTCGCGTGCATTTGGTCAGCCTTCAACTTGGCATCTCTCGAGCTAGGATTATTGCTCACGTCTTGAATAGCTTTTTTCATACAATCCAAGATTCTCTTTTTGCTGCATGAAACGTTAATGGCGCACCATTCTGCCAAACCATCAAGAGACCACATTTCGAGATCAGCTTTATTAAAATATTCAGCCATATTGTCATAAAAAAACTGGAGAAGCACGCGATCGATTACTTGGTAAATCAACCACGAATGACATAATCGCACGTGATAAAATAAAATTTTGTGCGATGCACGTGCTTGCTAGTCAAATTTATCATGTGAGAATAGCTTTATAAGTGTCCTCGCGTTTTAAACTCAAGACGCGTTCGTCAAATACTTACAAAATGTTCATTTATGTCGTTACTCCAGCTGAAACCAATGATAAATTAAAGATTCAATGCGGCCCCACTGACGACATAAGGGTGATTAGGGAAGCCATTGTGAAGCATTTTGGAAAGGAGTACAAGTCAGAATGTCAAAGATTAATATTTGGCGGCAAACAACTCGAGGACGGCTACACCCTTTTTCATTACAACATTAAAAATACAAATACCATCCAATTATTCAAAAAGATAAACCGCGTCTTAGAACAACCAATCGTATCTGTCGTCGTGTCTACACCTCCTGAACAAGCAGTAGATGCAAAACCTACGGAATCTGCTGCGCCCACTGCGCTCGCTGCACCTTCCCAAGACAGTCTTACGCAAGATCCCTTCAATTGTGAAGCTGTGGAAGAGTATATTTGTGAAAAGTGTAACAATAATCCCCGTAAAAAGTGCAAAAATTGTGGGTGCAATATTTGTGGAGGAAAGGATGACGACGAACACACGATTGTGTGTGACGAATGTCAATATTACTTCCATTTTAGTTGTCTGAACCCTCCTCTCGACAAATTACCCGAAGATGAATATTGGTATTGTACGGATTGTAAACACCAGGACGAAGATGTTGTCCTAGCGGGTCAAGGATTGGACCTTAAAAAATCTAAAAAATCCAAGATGCCATCCGCATTCCAAACGAAAAGTTGGGGTGGTGGAATGGCTTGCGTCGGTCTCTCTAAAAGATGCGAAATCGTGGATCCTGATTACTTTGGAGCTATTCCTGGTGTCCCGGTTGGGTCATCATGGAAATATAGAATTAATTGTTCGGAGGCCGGGGTTCATCGTCCCCCTGTCGCTGGAATTGCGGGTAAAAGCACTGTCGGTGCAGTCTCGATTATTCTTAGTGGCGGCTATCCTGAAGATACGGATAACGGATTCGATTTTATCTATACTGGATCTGGTGGTAGGGACCTTAAAACAGGAAATAAGCGTACGGCCGAGCAAACTTCAGATCAAGAACTTACTAAAACCAATTTGGCCCTTGCATTGTGCTGCGATGCAAAGGTTGACGATAAAAAGGGAGCCACCGCGAAAGATTGGAAAAAAGGTAAACCTATCCGAGTATGCCGAAGTGAGAAACTGAAAAAGCATAATCCGAAATTTGCACCAGACGAAGGAATAAGATACGACGGTCTATATAAAGTCGTCAGGTACTGGCCTGAAAAAGGCAAAGCCGGATTTATAGTATGGCGTTATGAAATGCGACGTGACGATGATGAACCCGCTCCTTGGACGAAAGAAGGAAAAAAATATATTGCCGATCTCGGATTAACAATGCATATTCCGGAAGAATTAAAAGAATCAAGTAAGCGTAAATCGGAAGAAGGAGGGTCTCCATCTAAGAAAACAAAGGTAAAAAAATACAAACCGACAAGCGAGTTTATGAAGCTCATCAAAAAAGATGTTAGAAACGTACGTGCTTGGGATATTGTCCTGGGAAAAGATTTTACGACATTGGCAGATCTCATTTCTATCATAGAAGAGGAGTTTAAGTGTCCAGTTTGCATTGAAATAGTTCAAAAGCCTGTTACGACACCGTGTACACACAATTATTGTTTTGATTGTCTTGCACAGTCTGTTCAAATATTCGGCCGAAAGTGTGTTCAATGCCGTGAGGAATTTGGTCCCGAAAAGTTTACGATAAATGAAAATCTGGTCGCCGCATTAAAAGAAGTAATTCCTACGTATAACTGTGAACTCAAGAAGGGAAAGGGAAAGGTTTTATATTAGTAATATGTAAAATCGGAGATTAAAATCATAGATATTCAGGTCTCAATTAGCGATATAATACATTACTCTAGTTGCCTTGAATATTGATGTATGTGTTTTTTCTTGGGAGTTTGAGGTTTCTTGCATCGCGTACTGTCAATTATTATATCCCTACGTAATAAAAAAGTAATGGTAAATACGAATCATGAGTAATACTGTTGATTGTTTGGGCTATTATATATTATAGAGTTTTAAAGAATGTATGTTTTGTTCTTTTAATTCGTATACATGAGTTTTTGAATCTATGCATGTTGAATTAATTAATCGTAAGTTAAATTCATCATTATTTTTAAATTAATATTTTTTTTTTGACCCACAATCATGTTGAAATGGCTTGTCTTTATTAAGATACTTGAGAAAATACCAAAATAATCCACAGACCTTCTCATGTAATGACTAACTTGTCTTTGTACATTATTAGTTGAAGGATTATACTACTTAAAAAATATGAGGTGTCCACTAAGCTAGTTTGGATTAAACAAAACTAAGTCTCAACTAGGTACTCTAAGTCAGATTTAGGGAATAATATTATGTTCTTCTAATAGCTTGGCATAATACCTTTAAGTCAATCAGGGTTATTGTCAATAGTTTGTTACTGTTGATTATCTCAAAAATAATGAATTGCTAAAGTTGGAACTGGGAAAGAAGAAAATGAAAAAAAATTCAAAAACTTTTAAAAAATTCTTGCACCATTTCACAGCCTCTTCTTGAAAGGAGTCTTGCCTGATTGAGATATTTTTCTTTACTTTATTTGGACCTCAAAAGGAGTTTTCTTTATTATCACTTATGGTATTAGATAAGTCTTCATTTAAGCATGCACTAGATTGGGATAATCCAAAAGAAACTAAAAAACCTCAACTTCTATCTTAGAAAGTCTTTTCATTACTTGAGAAACTTAGAGAAGGAATAGAATTTCTTTGTGCAGATTTATCACATATTTTGATATCATAACTATTTCTTGGGATCAAATATATATAGTTAAAAAAGAATTTCTTCTAAAATTTTCTTTTCTATATTATCCATAATGTAATAGGAATATGTAAGTATAACTAATAGAAGCTTATTTACTTTTTCTGAAACTAATATATTTTGTGTCAACCAATTATCATTAGTAAGGGTTTGTATTATCCAAAATTTAGGATCAAATTAAGATAGACAAAATTTCTTAGAAAATCATAAAAGAAATAGCTTTAAGAGATTCACAAGTAATTGGAAGAGGAAAAAATAAGCCTTTCTATTATTAAAAATTTTTATATACCTCTTGTTTCAAAGATGAAAAAAGTCTTTATATATTTTACTATTGATTTTTTTTCCTTTGAGAACTTTCTTATCATTGATATCAAAGGTATTACTTGATTTGTTTTTGATTACCAGAAGTCAAGTTTTTGATTAAAAAGAATTGTAATAAGTAAAGAAGAGTAGAGGTAATTCTTAAAGTCACTCTTTAAAAAGTTTTAAGAAAAATATTTAAGACTTTTTAGTAAAGAAGCAAAAAAACTTTTTGCAAACATCTTTTTGGTATGTGGTCAAAGGATCAGTAAAAGAGTTTTTTATTTTTAAATTATATTATAAATATAAATAAAAAAAATTTTTTTGAGATAAAATTTCAATATTAAAGTAAAATTTTTAATATAATAATAGTAGAAATAATCTAGTAATTAATAAATAAAATTGATTTTTTTTTTTTTAAACCGCAGTCAGATCAGTATGGCATGTCTTTATTTTATATATGCTAGGTATTTACAAATTTTGTGATTTTCACATACTGACTTACTCATCGTCAAAAAATTATTTCTCTAAATGCAACCTAGGGAATGATATTTTGCTCCTTTACTAATTTGGAATATTTCTTCTAATTAATAAATTCATTGCCTACAGGTCATTACTGTAAATCATTCTAAGTTCTGTCTGCAGTTAAAAACCAAACCACTTTATTCCGTGACAGATCCAATCCTTGATAATCGCCATATACTTCTTTTCTTCTATTTCTTTGATACCTTCTAGGCTTAAATTCTTTGAAGATAATGACACTTTTTTTTGTTCCTATTCAGTCTGTTCGTTATGTCTAGACTTGGATTTCTTGTTTCTTTTGTCCTCTTCTGTAATATTTTGCTTTTTTTCCCATTCTATCACTTGGACACAGCAAATATTTCAGATCTCCTTTTTAAAATTTGCTCTTATCTTTCAACAGAGTTTACCAATTATACCTTATGTATTTGCTGGTGGGATCTTGAGCTGCTCTTGGAGATACTTCCTCAATGAGATAGTCTTGCTTTCTTCCATATATCCACAGATAGTATTGAAAAGGCCCCTGTCAGATTTCTGGATTTCTTCTAACCATTTGTCTGTCCAGTCACTTATCTTAGGTTGATCTTTTTTCTTCTCTTTTATTTCTTTATCGATAAGTTTATTGAGCTTTTCGTTTGCCTTCCTCTATAAGTTCTTCCGAGTTTCTCTAGTGGTTGGGTACTTAAAAAAATGTTCTAGTGTCTCTTCTTGAAGTTCACATACTGGGCAAGTGGTTGTGATATACACATATAATTTTCTCTTCTTAAGTATCTGTAGGACTGGAAGTTTATTGTGAGTTAGGTTAATTAGGAAGCTTTTGTCTTTGCTGGTTTTAAAAGAGGTATCGAAAGTATTGGTTGGATTGAACTGGTTCCAAAAAGTCAGTCAGTTTATTATTTTATCATTTTGAATCCAGAGATCCTGGATTCATTTTTGCATTGTCCAGTCTAGTCCAGTTTTTTTCTTATTGAACATCTTGACGAAATCACTAATATCAATTTCTATTGTGTATTCTTTCCATGCTGCTATCATGAGGACTCTTTCTAGCTCTGGTAACTGATACCAAGTTATTGGGTTCTTCTGTCTGACCTGTTTAGCAAGTAAGTCTACTTGATTGTTGAATCTGTTGATTCTGTGGGCTTTGACCTTTAGGATTTCCAGATTCAGGTCTTTCTTCTTACTAGGTCCTTGATCTTATTCCAAAGTGGCCAGTTAGTGATTTTTGTCCATCTTCTTGTAGATATCTCTATTTGTGAACAGATGAATTTCTATACTTTGACTGCAGTGTTGCAGTCAATGTAAATTGTAACTATTGTGTTTCGGGGGGCTGTATACAGTGCAGTGAGAATAGTTAGTATTTCAGCTCTAGTTACTGATTGCCATGTGAATGCTCCTGCTGAGAACTGTTTAACTATCTTGTCTTTCTCTATCATGATCCAAGCTATACCCATTTTGAATTCATAATCTGTTGTTCTTTTTTTGTAAGAGCCATCTGTATAGAAAATAAGCTGATCAGCCATATTCCTTTTGTTATATCTCAAGGTGTTCTTGAGTTTATCTTTGTGTTCTTCTGTTTGTATAGCTTCATCTATTAGTATGATATTCCAATCTTCAACTAAAATCTCTACTTCGGCTGGTTTGGAAGTTGGTAGAGCCATTGTTTGCTGAAATGTATTTGTCTGCCAGTCTGTGGGGTTTCCTGGCAAGAGAATCTGTTTCCTTTTTTTTAGGTTATTATGTCGATTCAGCTGTGATAGAAAATGGATCTGTGACATGGCCACTTCTAATAATTGCTCTGTACTGTCTGGTTGAAGATAAGTATTATTACTAGCTGGATCATATACTAGTTGATATGGAGTGAAATAGGTTTTATTATTTATAAATACCATCTTTCCCCATATGTCTGTTGAAGTATTAATCTGAACTGCCTAATAACTCTTTCTTCTATCTGGATATATTTGGAATGCCTCAGTTTGCATATTATAAACTGTCTATTCAAGTTCATGTAGAGAGTTTTGTAGGAGAACTTGATTTGTTGTTATTTTTTCTTTCACTTTTTTGTATCAGGAGGGAATCAGTCCCTTGCATCTGCTATAAAGGATTTGAATTGCTCTCCATTCCTTAAGTGTCATTGTGGTAGTATTGATAAGCTGATCTAAAAACATGATTTTGTGTTTTCATAGTGATAGAATGGCCTTTTCGTATTTTTTATCTTCTTGCAGTATAGATTTGATCGATAAAATACCTCCCTAGTAATCGAATATGTTTTTCCATCTCTAACTTTGAAAAGTAACTTATATACTTTTTGCCAGGGCCAGTGTTGTAGCTGCCAGGTTTTCTTTTGTTAGCTTGTAAGAGTTGATAGGATTGCTTAGAATATTATCTGGCTCCCAACATTCGATTTGACTTTGTTTCAGTCTGATTATGGTAACAATATCAGAGGTCTCATTATTGTTAAGCTAATAGAAGAATACAAGTATGTGACTTTCTAGCTGTATTTCTCAGATACTTTTGAGGTCGTATATTTCTTTGTTATGAATACAACTATTTGAGATTGTTCCACAGACCAGGACCTTATTCTTGAATGCTTTTCTAAACATGGCTGTGAGATTATTACATGTTTTCTCACTCAGATATGTGTGTTGAATTCTGTATTCTATTCTTGGAATAAAGACCCTATTAATAATGTATCGGGCATATTTTTCTGTCAACTTCTTCTTGATTATTGCCTGGATGACTGTTCTAATCTCTGATTTTATAAGACTGATAGTGTCCTGGTTTCTTTGTCTTAGTTCTAGCCAGATACCAAGAAATCTAGCCTGATTCTCTTTATTGATTTCATAGACTATAGTATCCTTTGTTCTAGCCTGAACAGTTCCAGAAACTTGTGGGTTTCGATTAATAGTAAGGAGGATTGACTTCTCTGAGAATCATTTACTATATAGAACTTTTTTGCTTCTTCCAAGATCTTTTCCATGTCTTCCATGAATTTGGCAATCCAGGTCGTGTTATCCATATAAGCAATTACTGCCTACCTTAAGGAGAGCTTTATCTTCTCTTCAGGTTTACTAAAGTTGGGAGACCATTCTTCTTCCATGGAATAATCAAGATTGCTATTATTTTGGATCTTGCATAGAAGTAGATCATAAAAGATTCTCCAT